ATCTGCCTGCTTCCCTGGAGATCCTGACAGTGCTCTCAGATTGAACTGTGACTAAGAAGGAAGTTAGGTAATCTTTTAAATTTCTGCTCCCTGCTGAGCATTCTTCCCTTCCAGCATTTTCTGGCAAGGCATTCTTTAAGAGTACTGGCCTAAAAGTAAGATTGGCAATAGAAGTCACAAGATTCAATGCAATATAAAAATGCACAGTTGCTTGTTGAAAAAGCAGAACAAATGCCATCCAGGACATTAAAATGTAAGGCCTGATCCTTTGCTCTCCTGATTTGTTATATTTTTTCAAGCTATACTATTTTGTGTAATTCTAAGAAAAAATGTACATTGTTTTTTAAATGTTTACTACTTTTTTTGGGAGATAGCAATACTGAGATTTGAACTCAGAGCCTCATACTTGCTGGACAAGCACTCGATTAACTCTTTGGATTCCGTTTTTTTTCAGTTACTTTTTTCCCCACTTTTTGGGCCAGGAGCCAGCTTCAGATCATGAGCCTCCTACATACAGCCTCTTTATATAGCTAGTACCACCCATATATACTGAAGTAAGGAGGCCAGGTCTGGCCAGCGCCATATTGGTCACATGGTGGATGGTAGGGTCTGGCATCTTGTCTTCATGCTGGAGGAAGGAACCCCCGTCCTCCCCCCAATCACCTGCCTCACAGGTATTGGGCGTGCTTGGACCCCTGGAGGCAGGGGCAGGCACTTGGCTGATAGGTTACTGAATCTGTCATTCTAGTGCCTGGGACTGGGAATTTCCTGAGGATCTGCCCCTGTGCTAACCTATTTTAGGACTGGACTAGCCTAGACTTGGGACTCTATGCCACAGGTGTATCTGTGATTGTGTCCTGTGTCTTGTGTCCTGTCTAGTCTCCAGTCATCATAGAGTCCCAATTCAGCTCTCCATTGGAGTTGAATTGACTTGTTGGTATTGTTTTTGTTATCTCTTTCCTCTTTAGCATGTTTCCTGGCTGTGTTGTGTGTATTCGTGTGCTGCAGGCCTTTGTAACAACTGGCAGCCTGCGGCCTGTTTACTGTATAATAAAGACTCCAATATTCTAAAGCAACCTAGGTTGCTTTAACAAGATTGGGTTTGGCTACATTTTTGTTCAGCTGGCCTTGAACCATGATCTGTCTGATCTCTGCCTCCAGAGTACCTGGGATTACAAGTTTGAGCCACTAAGCCTAAATAAAAAATTTTAGCTATTGTCATAAAATTTCCCATTCATTTTTGTATTGTACAAGGTCAGTTTTAAATACCAACTATAAGAGCATGCCCAGAAGAGTCCAAAGGCTACAAGTTATACTTTGTAGTACCTATATATTTATATTTTGTTTTTTAACCAGAAAAGTAGATTCAATGTTCTGGCTTTGTTTATTTTCCTTCTTAATAATAAATGCACATTCTACCAACACACTCACCCAGGCTAATTGACCTGTGAGGAAGAATGAAACGCAGAGGAGCTATTCCCTCTCCCTTGGCTTCTGTGTCATTTGTAGCAAGTGTTGGAGTCATTCATAGAAATAGCATGCGAATGGAACTATATGGTAGGATGCCTAAGTTGCTGACATTTCTTTGCATCCCATTGCTCTATTTTTTGACTCAAAACATATTCAACTTTAGGAAAAAAAGTGGGGACTCTTGAGGCTGACTGAATTTTCATGCAACCTTGGACTGACTCTCAGCCTTTCATCACAGCTCCATTGGAATTCAATGCTATGAAGCATCATAAACACTATGCAAATGAGGAACAGGCAGTGGCAAACACAAATACTGTGCATATCTCTGTGCTCATCTGCATGCTCTGCTGTTCTACTGAATTTCAGTTGTGTAAAGCACAAAGTTCTAAAATACCATTATTAAGATGGTGACGGCGGGACAAACAACCAAAGGAGAGATCTTGAGAGCGCAGTCCCCTTGCAACTGTGTAAGTTGCATGGCACAAGGAAAGCTGGCCTTGCTTAGAAGATGTCAGAGAGATGCATGGGGGAGCAGGTGGTTCCCCAGGCTAAACTGGGGAATCTTCTCTCTAATCACTCAGAACACTTAACCATCTATCTATCCATCTATCTAGCTATCTATATTATTTATTTATTTATTTATTTTGCTGGTCCTGGGGCTTGAACTCAGTACCTGGGCACTGCCCCTGAGCCTCTGTGCTCAAAGCTAGCACTCTACCACTTGAGCCACAGTACCACTTCCAGCTTTTTCTGAGTGGTTTGTCTGGTCTGGCTTCAAACCGTAATCCTCAGATCTTAGCCTCCAGAGTAGCTAGGATTACAGGTATGGGCCACCGGCTCCCAGTTTCCTACCAATATTCTTTTACCAAGGGTTCAACTCCCATTCTCCAGCCTTCAGCTCAAGCAGGCATTAAGAAGCAAAGCCTCAAGCTCTTTCCTTAGCTGCTCAGAATCAAATCCAATTGTTCTCTCTCTCCACAATTGTACTTATCTTCTAATGACTCAGCTCCTACCCCACACAGGGGTTTCTGGTATAAATTGTGTCCATCTCTACTTTTCAATAACTCTCATGAGTTTATGGTTAGTGTAGCAATTTTGAATGTCAGTCTATAATTTTGCAAAATACACAAGAGAAAAAAATTTAATAAAGCTGTCTATCCTTGCCTGTGTGAGCTTTGCTTTTGTTTTATTCAGTATTTAACAAGCAATTTCTGGGTAGCTTCAGCTATGAGTGCTATCTCTTAAGAGTAGGAGAGCCTGTGACCTCTTAGCAGTCATAATCTACTGCTTTTTGAGACTGGGACTTTGTCCTGAATATATAATTTAAATTTTAAAAAATGTTCTAAGCGGAAACCTCCTCTTGCTCTTTTGCTTTTCTACTCTGTAAATGTAGTTCATGAGAGAAATATGAAGCCAAGTACCCTGGGGTCATTATTTCAGATCAGCCACCAGAGTTCTCTAAGAGGTGGCTTTCTAAAAATGACATTCTGCACCCTGTATTCAAATCATTAAGGTCCTCCCTTCAATCTTAAAAGCTTGGTTGAAAATTTCAAATCCCTCTAACTATAGTTTCCTAACTGACTTCTAGATTTAAGCCCAAGAAATTGTCTAAGGTTTCAAGTGTCTGTGGCTTCTCATATTTCCCTTAACTTTTAGTTTAACCACTTCATTACCTTTATCTTCTTTTGTCTTGCATTTTTCACCCCCCCTGTTTTTTTCTTAAAAGTATTCTTGATCTCAATGCCAAAAGAGTAGGGCACTTCCCACTCAACTCTGAATTTTAAAATATTGAGTTGGAATTGTTAGAGACCTATAGCATACTTTACTATCACTGCTGAATTTAAGATGGATGAATTGGAAAATTATAGTGTAAAGTGAACTCAAGCTGACAAGGAGGTTCACCCTATAATCCAAGCTACTTGGGAGGTGAAAATTGGGAGGATTGCTGTTCCAGGCAAGCTTAGGCAAAACTTTAGTGAAAAACCTCATTTCAACAAACAATCTAGGAAAAATGGCATGCATTTATAATCCCATAGGAAACCTGAGATATAGGAGGATATATATGTATATATATATATGAAAATTTACATAATATAATAAAGAAGCACTGTGTGAATAGACCACTTTTGCCTTCATATGATATTTCACTCCATTTCCTTCACTTGGCAATTAATATTTTAAATATCTAAGTGGTTCATGATATTTTAAAGAAATACTTGAACACAACCTAATTTCTAAATTTGAACCATGAAGGATTCAGTAGATAATTATGGTCTTGAAGGAGCTTCAAATCACCTTAATGGGACTCTATCAACCAACCAACCAGAGGCCATGTTTAAATTTTTAAACAGCATATTAAATAATTAAGCAGCATAACAAATTATGTTTTGGATAACTGTCACAACCTAATTTTTTGAGCACTCTTAAAAAAAAAGTAACCAACTATAAATGGTTCATTAGAGGTATTTTGGAAGCCAAAAATGCTAATTTGAGTCACATGGAACTCCTAAAAGGAATTTGGCATGAAACAGAACAAAGTTGCTGCTGGAAATAGTATATTAAAAATGTCAATCGATATAGCTACAACTGAAGCATGCACGCATAGACACAGCAAGCTTTTATGACAAATACACTGGTGATCTTTCTTTTCTTACATTTTTTTTACATAAACATAGTTGTTTAATAAATTTCAGGATCTGTTTTTATGTACTTCCTTCCTACAGACATGAATTACAAAATAACTTCATGACTTTTTAGGCAAAAGTTCTACTACTGAGCTGCCACCCACCCCAACTGTACTTCATGGATATGTTTTTGTGTGTGCTGGTAATGGGGCCTGAACTCAGGGCCTAAGTAAGAGAGACCTATGGTCTAAGGAATCTAAAAAGAGTTAAATCTAAAATGCTTAATCAGCCTCAAGTGTGTTTATCAGTGTGTCAGTGTATCTGAAATGTTAAGCATAGTTTCAGGAACTTGTACATATGACACCAGTTCAATCAAAACAGCTCCATTCAGGTACCAATATGCCCATGCCACAGTCAGGTCATTTATTTGCCTGGGCAAGGAAGGCAGAGTTTAAGCAAACTTGGTTTCTCATACCAGTTCCAGTTGTCACTAGCAATTGTGTGGCCTGGGGAAAAGTATGTCACTTCTCTGGGTTCCTATTTCCATAAAATGATAGGCCTGACATTCGATCATTCCTAACATCTCTACTAGCTGGAAAATTCAATAAGTCATTTGAAGCAATTGTTACACAGACATCATTAAAAAGCAGCTCCATCAGGAGTTTGGGAAGATTATGCAGTGCTAGAGTGCTTGCTTAGCATGCTCAAGGCCCTGAGTGTGCTCCTCAGCTCAGTAAGAAAATACAGGCAACTCCAGAAAGAGGATGAAGGCTATCAGACACTGCTCACATGTGCCCACTGCTCCTTATAAGAAATGATTGACTCATCCTGTATACACCCAGGCTGCTGTTGACATGGTCACAATATCCCCTGGATAAAATAAAACCATCTCTCAATCTCTCTTACCTTAAAAAGTGGCTGGTTCAAAGCAGCAGCTTCAGATCTGGAAATACGCCAGCGTGGCAGCCTCTTCTTCCTATCTGGTAATCCTGCAAGGATAAACAATAGAGAAGAGAGTTAATACAGGAGGAGAGGGGGCATGCACATCTAACTGCAGGTGCTGGATGGAGTCTGTGAATGCAAGATCTTCCTAACCAATGAACATTCTCCCATATGACATGAGAAATGTGTATTACACTTCTATTGCTTAGCCTGGTTTGGTTGTATGAATGTAATAAAATGAGTAAGGCTGCTTCAAAATTATTAAACATAAACATTTTAGAGATAGGCTAGGTATAAATTTCAGCACTAACTTCATGCCGGAAGGCTACTGATATTGATGTTTTCTGTCATGTGTAAGCATGGTGTATAATTCTGAAACAGTTCCTCATATGAAATGAATATTTTAAGACTCAATATTCAATATATCCATCATTTCCATTAGAACTGATTTTTCTTCTTAGATTGAATATAGTTCTGGAACCTTAGAAATATCACCAGCTCAGAGATTCCATATTCGACCTATAACCGCCTTAAAGCCAAATTAGATTTTAAAATGTAATATTTAGAGATCAGAAGCAGCTAGGCACCAGTGGCTCATGCCTGTAATCCTAACTACTCAGGAGGCTAAGATCTGAAGATCATGGTTCAAAGCCAGCCCAGGAAGGAAAGTCCATGAGACTCTTATTTTCAATAAGCCAACAAGAAGTTGTACTGTGGCTCAAGCAGTAGAGCGCTCACCTTGAGCTGAAGAGCGCAGGGACAGCGCCCAAGCCCAGAGTTCAAGCCACATGACTGACCAAAAAAAAAAAAAAAAAAGAAAGAAATCAGAAGCAAATAAGAACATCCTATTTTTGTCAAAGTGCTTCTCAGAAGGCGATGTGATCAAGAGAATGCCAAGGATTTGGTTTGACTCAAGTTGGCCTAGGTATTACTCTGAATTACCGTGCAAACTATAACCTTGGAAATAACTTAAATTTCAAAGGCACTCAACTCTGCCATCTACAAAATAGGTGTGATACTCCTAACAGTAGTAGAGAAATTGAAGGAGGAAACTGTTGTGAAATGTACTCATTAGCTCACTCAGAGCTAAAAGGACTAGACATCAGGAAGACAAATCTCTGCTAAAATGGGATCTTTATCAGCTCAGTCTTTCTAGCCCAATACTGTTAAAACTCCTCCGGATGTCATTAATGAATCTAAGGGGTTTTTTAATGAAATGAATCATTGAGGATAATCAAACATACAGTGGAATGAGAATGAGAAACAGTTACAAGTTAATTGTGCAACAACTAACAAAACTGTGGGCCTCCCTGAGGCCTTAATCAATTCTCTATGTCCACTCTACTTTATGTCCACTCTACTTTATGTCTCTACACTTCTGTCCACTAACTTTGTACCTCCTGAGTTAGCATTTCCCAGTGTTTGTCCTCAGCATGGGCCGGACTGATCGAAGAGGATGGTTCTCTGTAGGGAGCTGTTTCCACATGACTGATAATTTCTGGATTCCATGGAATTTGCCTTGGTAAATTCCACATTCCTGTTCTTCTGGAAATGAAATCTCTGTCTATTTCCTATTGGGAATGGCACTTGTTCTGAGTGTACTGCCCACTCTGCCAGGATCTATGTTACTGTGTGTCAAAGGTTATGCCCCCACCCCCTCAGCCCATGCAAGCATACGTTGTGAGGTGTGACCAGGGGTGAACATTCAATCTACCTCTCTATCACTCTCTGAGAAGAGAAAGTAAGATCTGGATATGCCTAAGTTTGGGGGCAAGATGGGAAAAGCTTCTCTGTTCTGCAGACTTTATGGAATCCAAGGTACTTCTTATCTTTTCAACCCATTCATCATCATTATCATCATAACCATTGCTTAGTAGTGCCTATTACATTCCAAAATCTTTACATATACATTTTTGAGACAGGGTCTTGTTTAGTAAACCAAGCTGACTTCAAACTTGTGATATATCTGCTTTTACATCCCAACTGCCAAATTACAGGCAGAAACACCATGTCTCATTTCTAATCACATTGAATGTGTGATCTCACATAATCTTCATAAATATTCAAGTACAGCTGGGTGCCTATGGCTCACTCCTATAATCCTAGCTACTCAGGGGGCTGAGATCTGAGTATCGCGGTTCAAAGCCAGCCTGGACAGGAAAGGCTGTGGGACTCTTATCTCCAATAAACCAGCAGAAAACCAGAAATGGCACTGTGGTTCAAGTGGTAGAGTGCTAGCCTTGAGTTGAAGAGGTGAGGGACAGTGCTCAGGTCCAGAGTTCAAGCCCCATGACTGACAAAAAAAAAAAAAAGACTCAAGTACATTATTGTACTTCACACATGCAAACTACACAAGTAAAGAACTAACTTTCCCAAGGTGATACTACTAATTGTGTCAAGGGCACTATTAATCACAATTCTCACTGTCTCATGTTAAATCACATCCATCCGTCATGATCCTTGTCCATACCAACTGCAGTTACTAAGGATTCTAATATTTCCCTTCTTCATGTCTAATTGTAAGGCTTTTATTTTCCCCAGATTAAAGGTGTTAATCAAATAAAACTAAGCTCTCCTTTTAAGCTACACATTTGCCTTGAATTATATATCTTCTCAATATAGAAATGGAATCTTTCTCAGTCACTTAAAAATAGCATTAATGTATGTCCTTTACTGTAGCAAATTCTGAGTGAGAAGCTTCATGACAGAATATTTCATGCTTGCTTGCAGTATCTCTAGAGCATCTAACAAGGCTCACTTCTGCTAGGAGACCTTGAAGGCCAGTAGATTTGAGCAAAAATGTCAGCATTAGATGGGGCAAGTGCTTCCCCTGCTAGGTCATATGTAACCAATACCTGGACATGTGATGCACTGCAGTCACTGGGATTAATGTGGGGAGATTGGTTTTTGCCTTGCTCTGACCTATTGAGATGGTTAACCACTAAAACAGACAGACATGTAAGATTGGGAACACAGCTCAAAGGATAAAGTGCTGGCCTAGTAGCCACAAAGTCCTCAGTTTAATCTGCAGTTCAGAAAAGTATATATATATAATATGTTTTATATATATAATATATTATATATATATATAAATTTAAGCCAGGTGTCAGTGGCTTGTGCCTGTAGTCCTAGCTATGCAGGAGGCTGAGAGCTGAGGATCACAGTTCAAAGCCAACTCTGAGACTTTCTCCGATTAATCACAGAAAAAGCCATGTTGACTCATGTGGTAGAGCACTAGCCTTGAGCAAAAGGAGCTCAGAGACCGTGTTCGTCCAGAGTTCAAGTCCCCAGACCAGCAAAAAACAAACAAACAAACAAAACAGTAAATCTGAATAAGAAATCATCCTTTGCGTTCTTCCCCCAAGGGAGAAGTCTACCTGGATACAGTGAATTCTGAACCACTCATCTTTAGAACCACAGCACGCTGATGAGGCTTATTGAGGATGAGGACAGAGAGGAAGATATTATTTCTCTATACACCTTCAGACACCATGAAACATTTAGCTTTCTTATACTAACCCCCTGAAAGAGAAATACCATCTATGATCCTGACGGCTCTGATGGGGACCTAGTGAGAAGGACAGAAAGAACCCAGAGACTCTCCAGTGCTCTATGAGACTGGGGCTTTGGGTGATGATAATCAGTTACTTCCTTATACTTAAACGAGAAGAAGGCACAGGCTAGGAAGTGGGTACTCGCCCTCCATATCAGTTCACATTTGTGACCTGATCTCATTTTGTGAAACTCCATTCAGATACTCTACTGACTCTCTTATGCAGTCTCAACATTAAAATCTCCTTCACAGCTTGTCTAGTCTGTTTGTAGAGTGGGGGCTGACCACCAATGGGCTGGCAAAAATAAAAGAGTTAGCCTGGTCCATCCCCACCAGAGTCTCCAGCTGCTAACTGTGGACACAATGGATGAACCACCATGAACCTTGTCAGAGAATACTACACAGACTAAGACACACGATAATGGGCACTCCCGGCGGCATGAGGGCAGATGTTATCCTACATGGAGCCCATTAGCACTCAGGGTCATTGACTTGTTTACCCCAAAATTAGAGGAAGAAGGAGGGAGTGTTTAGTATACACTGTTTTGGTAACATCCTAATCTCGATGTGCTACTTCCTTTATTGAATCTCAGAGTTTCCACCCACCACTGATATTTACAAGAGGATTTAGGGAAGTGTTGTCTTTAGCTCTAGCTCAGGTGGCAAGAAGGATTTCTGCAGGTAGCAGAGCATCTTTGAATTTAATTAAATATAGTGTGGTATTTGAAGAATGAACGAAGAAAATTAAGAAGCTCATTATTTTTCTGGGTCCCAATTTATATATTTGATAAAGGGCTTTGAGTTAGCACCATTTTGAGTGGTAAAAGGATGAAATCTAGCAGAAGCCCTTTGAAAATGTTTTCATCATTCCAGAATTATCTAGAACAGTATGTATGGCACTCAGATTATAGTGCGTTATTAATTTCTAGGGCACATGTTAGAAATGAGCTATATAGCTAGAAATACATAAATATTTAGAATGATAGGAAAAAATATTGACTTCCTGCTATACTTTTTCAAAATAAAAATAATATGTGTTCATTCACAAGTTTTCCAATACTGGTGTTTGAACTCAAGTCCTCCCCGATGCCAGGGTTGGGCTCTACCGCTTGAGCCACACTTCCAGTCATGCATTTTGCTGGCTATTTTTGGTATGAGCCACCAGCACCCAGCATAAATATATATTCAGGCTTGAATTCAGGGTCTCACACTGTTGCCTGGCTTTCTTGCTCACAACTAGTACTCTACTACTTGAGCCATACCTCCATTCTAGCATTTTCACTAGTTAAGTAGAGATGGAGTCTGGAGGTCTTTTCTACCAGGATGGTTTTGAACCATAATCCTTTAGCTCTCAGATTCCTGAGTAGCTAGGATTACCAGCATTAGCTTTTGGGGCCTGGCTCAATTTTTAAAATTCAAATACAAAAAAAAATGTGTACTAATATTCTATCCCCTACCCCAAGTTTATTTCCCATTTTCAGTCATTCCAGTAGTT